AATCTGACAACGCAGCTACTATTGATATTCCTTCTGATGGGATGGGATCGGGATGGACCGAGTCTGGAAAGCGCTACAGCCTTCGACGGGCCAAGCTTCTGATTCCACATGCAGAGGATACTTTCACCGAAGCTTTGGGATCTGGCATGACGGAACAAGGAAGACGATACAGTCGCCGAGTGGCAAATCGACGAAACTGTGCCAATTAAAAAGTACATTCTTGGTACGACTTTGAAATAGATGAAGGATGATAATAGTGTGCGACAACACACGAACAACCCATCAAACAGCTTAATGGAAATTCACCCCATAATGACAATTTTTGTCATGACAACGACGACGACGTCACTTCATTTCTCCTGGTAAGTTTTTCTGACCGTTTCAATTGCATCTACTTTCTGAACTATGGTCTCACCACTTTTCTTTTCTTCTTTGTTCAACTATGATAATATGATTGCACAGCAAATCTGCAAGTCTTGATGTGTCATCGCACATTTATAAGGGATCCTTCGGCTGGCTAGTGTTTTCCTTTGTGGTTTCTAGTGGATTGGTCACTCACTAGGATTGCATCGGCAACGCGAAACCAGACGATTTCATGGCTTGCTGAGTTTGGATGCTTCCCTCCAGTCTTTGTTGAATGGATGGGCAGGCCGAGGCTCGTAAGCGCGTCCATGATCGGCAAGAGCCCAGAAAAGCGATCCCTTAAAAAGTACATTCTTGGTACGACTTTGAAATAGATGAAGGATGATAATAGTGTGCGACAACACACGAACAACCCATCAAACAGCTTAATGGAAATTCACCCCATAATGACAATTTTTGTCATGACAACGACGACGACGTCACTTCATTTCTCCTGGTAAGTTTTTCTGACCGTTTCAATTGCATCTACTTTCTGAACTATGGTCTCACCACTTTTCTTTTCTTCTTTGTTCAACTATGATAATATGATTGCACAGCAAATCTGCAAGTCTTGATGTGTCATCGCACATTTATAAGGGATCCTTCGGCTGGCTAGTGTTTTCCTTTGTGGTTTCTAGTGGATTGGTCACTCACTAGGATTGCATCGGCAACGCGAAACCAGACGATTTCATGGCTTGCTGAGTTTGGATGCTTCCCTCCAGTCTTTGTTGAATGGATGGGCAGGCCGAGGCTCGTAAGCGCGTCCATGATCGGCAAGAGCCCAGAAAAGCGATCCCTTAAAAAGTACATTCTTGGTACGACTTTGAAATAGATGAAGGATGATAATAGTGTGCGACAACACACGAACAACCCATCAAACAGCTTAATGGAAATTCACCCCATAATGACAATTTTTGTCATGACAACGACGACGACGTCACTTCATTTCTCCTGGTAAGTTTTTCTGACCGTTTCAATTGCATCTACTTTCTGAACTATGGTCTCACCACTTTTCTTTTCTTCTTTGTTCAACTATGATAATATGATTGCACAGCAAATCTGCAAGTCTTGATGTGTCATCGCACATTTATAAGGGATCCTTCGGCTGGCTAGTGTTTTCCTTTGTGGTTTCTAGTGGATTGGTCACTCACTAGGATTGCATCGGCAACGCGAAACCAGACGGTTTCATGGCTTGCTGAGTTTGGATGCTTCCCTCCAGTCTTTGTTGAATGGATGGGCAGGCCGAGGCTCGTAAGCGTGTCCATGATCGGCAAGAGCCCAGAAAAGCGATCCCTTAAAAAGTACATTCTTGGTACGACTTTGAAATAGATGAAGGATGATAATAGTGTGCGACAACACACGAACAACCCATCAAACAGCTCAATGGAAATTCACCCCATAATGACAATTTTTGTCATGACAACGACGACGACGTCACTTCATTTCTCCTGGTAAGTTTTTCTTGACCGTTTCAATTGCATCTACTTTCTGAACCATGGTCTCACCACTTTTTCTTTTCGTCTTTGTTCAACTATGATGATAATACAATTGCACAGCAAATCTGCAAGTCTTGATGTGTCGTCGCACATTTATAAGGGATCCTTCGGCTGGCTAGTGTTTTCCTTTGTGGTTTCTAGTGGATTGGTCACTCACTAGGATTGCATCGGCGACGCGAAACCAGACGATTTCATGGCTTGCTGAAATTGGATGCTTCCCTCCAGTCTTTGTTGAATGGGTGGGCAGGCCGAGGCTCGTAAGCGTGTCCATGATCGGCAAGAGCCCAGAAAAGCGGTCCCTTCAAAAGTACATTCTTGGTACGACTTTGAAATAGATGAAGGATGATAATAGTGTGCGACAACACACGAACAACCCATCAAACAGCTCAATGGAAATTCACCCCATAATGACATTTTTTGTCATGACAACGACGACGACGTCACTTCATTTCTCCTGGTAAGTTTTTCTTGAACGTTTCAATGGCATCTACTTTCTGAACCCTGGTCTCACCACTTTTTCTTTTCTTCTTTGTTCAACTATGATGATAATACAATTGCACAGCAAATCTGCAAGTCTTGATGTGTCGTCGCACATTTATAAGGGATCCTTCGGCTGGCTAGTGTTTTCCTTTGTGGTTTCTAGTGGATTGGTCACTCACTAGGATTGCATCGGCGACGCGAAACCAGACGATTTCATGGCTTGCTGAGTTTGGATGCTTCCCTCCAGTCTTTGTTGAATGGATGGGCAGGCCGAGGCTCGTAAGCGCGTCCATGATCGGCAAGAGCCCAGAAAAGCGGTCCCTTCAATTTTTGAAAAAGAGTCTTGAACTCTACCACTCTGTTATTGGATTTGAATGACAAAGCGGAAGTCTCCCATGGAATATCAGAATCATGTGATCCATCACCCTGCTCAAATATGGGGAGCAAGCGATATCGGTTAGACATGTGAACAGCTGTCATTGTCAATTATATGTATTGTATAATTGGCAATGCTCGGTGGTACATGCAGTTTCGCGATGGCACTGAAACTGAAGGGAGCAGCGGCGTCTTCAACCCATTTCAATATCCTTTGCTATGACATTGCCAGATTGGCATGTCTGGTACTGGTATTGAAAAATAACAATCAACCAACTTTGCAACCAAACTTATATGAAAAGGACGACTGCGTTCGAATTCTAGGATGGACGTAAACCATGGACAACGGCGGAAGCTACTAGAATCAGCTGGTTGATTCTACAATTCCAGCGCGACGAAAGGAAAAAGAGATGTAAACTAATTTGAATATATGAATATATATGACTATTAATACTGTAAGGACTAGTCGGTGTAAAAACAATATACTAAGTAACTTACTTTAATAATCATGATTGATGAACACCTTCTTTTCGTGTGTCCAAGACCGCTGTTACACGAATATTGGATGGAGAAGGGTAATTTGCGACCACGACGAGTATTGTGCATCCTTGCGTACCTGTATTGTCCAGCGACCAGTTGGGGAGTCCACAGATTAAAATTGAACTTGAAACTATAAAATGGTCAACAAGTTTGTTTGTTTTTCTGTCTACCGGTACAGTGATGGAGTTCTTAAAAACAGAGGAGGGATGTTGTTAAGTAGGGATCCAAAGATGGAGGGAGGTTGTTAAGTAGGGATCCAAAGATGAGGGAGGTTATTAAGTAGGGAATAACTCCAATATAAAAAACATGAGAAAAAGGTATTGTTCCAGTCGAAGGAGTCAGTCTCCTGAGAATCCTCTGCTCGATCGCGCGCTCTCTGAATCCGCGTAGTAATATATATCTACGATATTATTTTTATATACCGTGAAGCTGAAAAAAATGTCCGCCACATATGTAATGTATGTCACCTGATTTTCTTGCCTCGTTATGCTATCAATTGCCAAAAATCAGATAGTCCAATGTAGACCGCAGGCACACTGTTCGATCTCTTTGACTACATTGTGTTACAGAGGGACAAAGGCCGAACGGCCTTAGACCGTCAAAAGTTGTTGTCGATGCGCCGAGGCAATGATGCCCAGTTTATCGACTGAGATTGAATTCACCCACTTGTGTTGTGGTAATTCAATTTTTCTCTCCCAAACCTCACCCGCCCTGTTGGGCACCGCTTCCATTTTACCATATCGGCGGTGCCTGGTAGGAAAGCAGATCTCAGTAATACCGCACACGGGATTTCTGAGATTGGTGGAACGAATCGAGTCTATTACTCGACCCGCTTCACACCACAACCCACCAGCTACAGTGTACGCACCAAGACAAAATACTACGAACACACACGGAGGACGGCAGTAGGCTATCTTAGATAGCCCCCAATATCAACTTTCCCTCCTTGTTTCCCAGTCATTTTTGGGAGGGTTATAAAACTCGTTCACATCTGCTGCGTTCCAATCAATAGAGTTGCAATGAGCCGCTATTACTGACACATACACAAATTGGCATACCCCCAACAAAGCTGAATAACTCTTCGTTATCATAATTCTAGAAGAAAGCGACGAATGCCTCAATATATAGCGTACAGTTGTCAAGAATAAATCAGCACATTATCATCATGGATGAGATAGTCGACAAGGTTGGAGCCAATCACAGCAAGACCAACTTGCTGATCTCTACTGATAATGACGGATTGCTCTCTGAATTTGGAGATGATGATGCCCTGCTTTCCGTTGCAACAGATGCTGTGGAAATTAGCAGCAGCAGCAGCAACAAAAACAACAAAAACATAATTGTCCCAATGCATAATCCCCGGATATCTGACCCATCATCGCTGAAAGCATCCGAGTTGAGAGAGCAAAAGAACGATGGTGCTGAACTTATAGAACCACTACTAGAGGACGGGACATCATCGAGAGTTTCTTCCGTCAAACTGGATTTTGATTCCATAGGATTGGTTGGTCGCGACAGTCAAATAAATAGTCTTCGGTCTTGCTTGGATCGCATTTGTTGGGATGGTGATGATGGTTCAACAGCAGAGAATCAGCATTCTTCATCATCATCGTCATCGTCGCCAAAAGACTACAATGCCAAATCGAAACAAGTGGTTCTGCTTTCGGGAGAAAGTGGAGCCGGAAAGACAAGTATTTCCAAAAGCCTTGAAGAATATATATTGGAAACCAAGGTTGGAGGTTTGTTTGTGGAAGGCAAGTTTGACATGTACACCTCTGATGAGCCATACTCCGGTATTATAAAAGCCTTTGCAGCAATATTTAGCAAGACTTACGAGTCGTCAGCAGATGGCGGTGGCGGCGAGCAAGAAATAATTCAGCAGAAACTATCGAATGTGCTACATGACGACCAAGCTCGGTTGCTAAGTCATCTTATTCCAGAATTCACCAAGTTCTTCTTGCCGGATCTAAAGTCTGCTGATACAAGTGGTAACGGATTTGAGCACGATGATGAGCTAGAGAATGGTATTGAACGACTGAAATACACTTTTCGCCTGCTGATTCGAGTATTTTGTGATCACTTTTTGCCCCTGGTGTTGTTCCTAGATGATTTGCAGTGGGCCGACGTTTCATCATTGCAAATGATCGACTACTTGATATCTGACACGGACAATGAAAACCCACTCTTGATTATCGGATCCTATAGATCCGATGAGGCTGACGAAAACAGCCTTCTCTTCAACAAGATCCTGGCGTTGAAAGACAAGAGTCTCATGTACAATTTTCAAGTGACAGAATTATATATTCCCACCTTTCAATCAGACGACACCTTGGCAATGATCATGGCCCTCATACCATCCACAAACGACAAGATGGCCAGAGCGCTGGCAAAGCTATGTGTAAAGCGAACGCTTGGCAACCCACACTTTGTAATGGAATTCTTGAAAATGCTCTACCACGAGGGTCTAATCGAGTATATGGAAGAAGAAAAGATCTGGACTTGGGACATTGCTAGAATCGAAGATGCGACAATGTCAACTGCCAACGTTGTTGTTTTGCTACAAGATCGAATGAGGCGAATGACAAAGCAGGCACAGGTTTTCTTGAGAATCGCTGCACTTCTCGGGTCAACATTTTCCAGGACAACCTTGGAACTTGTTTGGAAAACAAAGGGTGCCATCATGTCAATAGGTGGAAAGGCAACCTTGCCACAACTGATGGAAATGGTCGAGAAGGATAACTTCATTGAAGCTTGTGGTCCTAATAAATTCAGATGGGTGCATGACAAGGTGCAAGAAGCGGCATTTTTCCTTTTGGGCAATGCCAATATATATTTTCAATTTGATATTGGAACATCACTGTATTACACATTGAAGCCCGACCAGCTAGAGCAAGATTTATTTACTGTCGTTGATCTGATAAACATTGGAAATCGGAACAAGCGGAAAGAATTTGCTCGTGTCAATTTGCGAGCTACCGAGAAGGCAATGGGCCTCGGCGCATTTCAGTCAGCATTTTCGTACGCAGCACATGGAATCGGTCTTCTGGAGGGGGATGATTGGTTACGAGATCGTCAGCTGAAACTGCAGCTCTATACAAAGGGCGCTGAGGTAGCGGTGATTTTGGGGGATGTCGAGACTGCAGAAAGATACATTGAAGAAGTGTTGAAGCAAGACGGCTTCACAACAATGGAGATACTACCACTGAAGATGGTAAAGGTGGATATTATGTGCACTATTCAATTGAGGTCCAAAGAGGCAATTGACTATTGCCTCGCTGTATTGAAAGACCTCGGTTACAAAGTAACAGCAAGTCGACGATTCACTGCCATTCAGGCAATCTACAATGTCTCAAAAACCGTGAACAAGCTGAAAAAGCTGCCAAAGGACTTTGATAAGGATCTTGGTGTCGTTACCGACAGGAAACAAAAGGGGATCCTTGCCGTAATTGCGAAATTAAACGATGCTGCTTACAATGGGAAGGAACCCATGCTAGCTATTCTTTCTGACTGCAGGACTGTCGAGCTAACTCTGAAATACGGTGTCAGCCAATATGCCGGCGCGAGTTTCGCAACGATGGGAGCTGCAACAATGCTCTTTCACCAAGATTATGAAGCCACACAACGTTTTATGGAGCTTGCCCTTACCATTCAGAATATCAATGGCAGGATTGGAAAAAGCAAGACGGCTCACATTGCGAATATGTTTGGTTTCGCATGGACCAACGGCTACAACGCTATAGGAGAATCGCTGGCCAATGGATATATAACGGGAATGCAAGTAGGAGAAACAGAGCATTCGATGTGGGACCTTTTACAACACGTAAGTCCTTTTTGAATTGTCATTGTCTTCCTTCCATACTTCCACTAAGACCTTTTTCTTTTATCCTTTTGCACTTTTCATTTTGCAACAGCGAGTTGTACTCCCATTCTATTTGGGGAGGCCATTGGATCAAATTCTCACTGACTGCTCCAAAGTCCTTGTAAAAATGCAAGAAGTAGCACAGAAAACACAAGAGTTTGCATTGAGGTGTTATTATCAGACGATTTTGAACCTTGCGGACCCTTCGAGTGCCCATATGGAAAAGCTCGAAGGCAAGATTTTGGACCGGAGTATACACAGAAGTGAAGAAGCAGCTTACCTAGCTTGTATTCATATTGTCGAAGGAGATTTACTTCTCTTCTTTTCGGACTTCGAGGTAGCTGCAAAGCGTGCTGTCGAAAAGGGTGAATTGCTTGAAAAGTTAAATCCCGCAATGTGCATAATAATGAGCGAAACGTTCCATCGGGCTGTTGCTTTGTACGCTGCAGCTCGTCGAACGAAACAGAAAAGGTTCAAAAATGGCGCAAACAAGCTACGAAAGAGGATCATTGAGTGGGAAAAGAAAGGCAATCCGAATTGCATGCATTTCGTGCCTCTTTTGGACGCCGAGTTTGCTGCACTGAACAGCAAAGTTCGGATTGCAAAAGCCAAGTACGTCGAGGCAATCGCCATCGCAAAAGAACATGGCTTCGTCCAGTATGAAGCGCTTTTCAATGAGAGATATGCGGACTATTTATCTGAGGACCTATCATTGCCTGACAAAGCGGAGCTCCATCAAAAGGAAGCGATCCGTGCGTACAGCGAGTGGGGCGCTCATGCCAAGGTGGCTCAGCTGAGGATGGGTGGCGCGTGAGACCTGTGGACTCGAATATGCTAGCGTGCAGTGCGATTGCTACCTTCACCATGGCACGTGGCAGAGCTTCCCTCGTCATCTTCGAAATTGTGTTGTATATTTGCTTTGCCTTGTGCGAAGTGAACTGAAAGTTTACTGATCTCCGTTTTTGTGTTCGAAACGAAAAAAGTGATGGAATTTGTCAGGACGACTCACTCGTTCCGCCGGATTTAAAAACTACCTACGTGACAACCTCGACCGATCATGACCCACAACAGAGGAAGAAATAAACAGTAGAAAAAGCGTGCAATAAAATAGGCATACCCCGGCATAGCTGCCTGGGAAGAGTAACTAAATTTTTGAAAGCAACAAACATAGAGTTTGGTTTTATTTTCGTCGTGCTAGAGCAAATGCTACCAAGGAGTAGCACGTTCCGCGCTTGCTTGGATAATGAATCATGTAGTAGTACTTTTCCTCTTTTTCGAATTCTTCCCCCCTGGACCGTCATGACAGACAATCGAAGCGTTTTGTGGTTATGTTGATTCTCCCCACTGGGCTTGCGCCTGATGCACCTAAGCACAACTTGCCGCGTGGAGAGAGCCTTGTCCTCTGATTTTTTGAAACTACAGTAAGAAGCCGGCGGAGTGAGTGGCCATGCTTTCCATGCAATCGAAGTATCAAGTATACCAAAGACTCCATCATACAGGTATTTTGAGAATCGGTCGCCAGTCGCATATTCTGCCTTCTGTACTCCACAAGGAAAGATATTTGACGGCCATTGGCTCGTTCAGGAACAAGCCTTTCTTTCGTTGCTTTTGGGTATACTCAACTAGCAGTTTTTCTCTATCTTCTGGGGCATATACCAAGCTCAAATGTGGCACGAACTTATCTCGATCCCCCTGACCAAAGGCATTGGTGCACACTTGGTGCAATCTGTCCAACCAAGATGATTTCTCGATTAAAAGCAAGCTGATTGAACATCCAAATCCTTTGCCACTGTCAGCAGATTTTGGATAATGGAAGTACATCCAATCAGAAGCCGATACCTTGTGCGAAGATATTTTTTCTTTTGATGTCACTATCCCATGTTCTTCTTGTGGACCGTCCCCTTTGCTTTCTTCTGTGGCTGCAAACGTTTTCCAACATTCCTTTAACGTTGCTTCTGCATTACTAACTTGATGACTCGTCCCATCTGCTGCCTTCTTGTCAATTACATTGTAAAGGATTGTCACATGGGGGAGAAATGAGTGGACACCGCATTCTTTACTACCACAAGAGAGCTGCAAATCTTTCATTTGATCGTCCAAGTCTCCATTTTCCTCAAACTCCAACCATATTGACAACCCTGAAAATAGGTGGTCAAACTTGCTCTTGTCATAAAAGTCTCTGTCAGTTTCTCCTTTTTCCTTTTCTTCCTCGTCTTGTTCATTTAGTCGACGCTTCTTCTTCCCGTTGTTGTTGTTATCTCGATGTGGATCATCGTCATCGGCATCGGCATCGTAATCACTCATGTCTGAGACATTGTTACGTTCGGCACACTGTGTATATGACATAGTATGTTGCAGGGTAAACGAACCCGGATTTCAAACTTTAGATGCATATCCCTCATCATCATCGAAACAAAAGCAATCACACTACCGTACATCGAATGTTTGTCGAACTTGGATCATCAGATGAGCTTGTCAGCTTCATCAACGACAACGAAACGTGCCTGGTGAGTTATTTTGCGATGTGAGATGAGACACAATAAGTGTGCAGGGTGATTGCGAGCTCTGAATGAATCAATCGTCGTCTCGTTCATGAACATATTGAATATATACACTGATGACCCTGCTGTTGCCATCTCGACGATAGGTAACCTTCTCAGCTACCTGGTGTGGTCCTTGCAAAGCAACCAAACCAAAATTGAAAGACGAGATTGCTGAAAAATCAACATTGAATTTCGGATATGTCTATGAGGAAGATCTAGATCCTGATTTCTTTGATGTTTTTGTCGAGATCAAGGCTTTTCCGACGTATGTCATTTTCAAGAATGGGCAAGAAGTACAAAGAGTCGAAGGGACCGACCTTGATGCCCTACAAAAGATGCTCGATGCACATTCGTCATAGTCGAAGGAAATCTTAGATGAAGTTATGTAACATTAGAAAAAAAAGATATATATTGCAGTCGAGAAGTCATCCCATTGCAAAGTGCGGTGCAATGTCGCGACAACGCTTAATTGAACTTTCTTGTTTCTTCTTGCTACATATCAGTATATGATGCAGATGGTAACTAATTTCATTTGTTCGTAGTGTCAAGCACTATCTTACAATCCATCGTGTTGCACCGCTATTTGCCCTTCTCTGTAATATTTTGATATACAAATGACCAACACGCCCACCATTCCCGTAACAACCGCAGTCGTGATCACAAAACTACCATGGAATATGTCTGCCAACAACCCTGTTAGCAGTCCTCCCACAGCATAGCCAGAGTCCCTCCAGAGCTTGTAGATTCCAATGGCCGTGGCCCGATCCATTGCAGGTGTGTGGTCGCTGATGGATCCAGCCATCACACAGTAGACGCTACCAATACCACAGCCAATGACAATACCCCCAATCAACAAAAGCATATAGACAGGAATCACTTGCGCAAGGCTGCTATCGGCCATGGCAGTAATGATGAGACCCAACATTGCCGTCACAAAGCCGCCGACCAAGACTGGCTTGCGAGTTTTCCACTTGTCACTAGTACGGCTGGCAACAATCATCATGGCTGCCTTGGAGAAGGTAAAAGCAGAGCTGATATTGGCGATTTGGAACTTGGAAAGGGACTGCCGCTTTGCCCAAATCAATACCAAACCCCAAGCAAGGGATGTGATCAAGTTTGTCATCAGACCGGCAATCAATAAGACTGCGGTACTTGGATTGTACCAACACGTTTGTAGTAAAACGCGTCCAAAAGAAGATGATAGAACTATCTGATTAGCATCAAGTTCTGAAGAACCTGCCAATGACGTGTTCTGTGATGACGAGGACAGGGCAACCATTTCGTACTCTGATCCGTGCTTCCGTATTCTGCTTTGTGACATTGCTGGTTTCCCTTCTTGTTCGTCTTCATCCACAAAGTCTTCTTCATCTTCAATAAAATCATCGTTGCTCCTCTCGGACACTTGGTCGGGGTGATGATTCATTTGTTCGTCGTCGTGGGATGCCGAAGATGGTGATGAACCAGTCTCCAACAAAACGAACTGTGTGGTGTCTTTCATACCCACTGTAGAAATGATAAAGCCACCAATAGAGCATACCAGAACAAGCAGAAAAGACTGCTGTATTGACATTGCCGTAATCACATACGTTGTAATGGCCGAAGACAGATAGCCTACGCTGTTCGATATGCCTGATGCCAAAGCTCGGTTTTCAGGTCCCAAAACGTCAATGAACATGAAAATGTTCGTCGTCCAAGTCCAGCCCTGTTGTGCTCCCAGAAAGATATTGGCGACAATGTACCAATTCCAGTTGTTGTCTGTACCATTGTCGTCATTGCTCTGCTGGGATATTGTGTATAGCAAGGCTCCCAATATGATGCCTGCAATCCAACCAAGACAGTGGGGTATTTTTCGGCCGTACACATCTGACATTCTCCCTACTACCACATTTGATAAGGCTTTGGTGAAGCCAAAGGATACGAGAAACGCCGTTTGATAAGTGTAGGACGTTCCCGTTCTGGATGCCGCTAACAAGGCTTCGTTGAAGGTGGTTGCCTTCAGTGTGACGCCGATCAAGATGGCAATCGAAACGTGAAAGACTAGCTGCAGTCCATTGCTTCGGAAACCGAATTCAACTCTGTTACTTTCATCGCGGGCCATTTTTATTGGTTCATCGTTGTGGTATTGCTTTGCTAATCAGTGAAGAAGAAGATGCATATACTATACAATACAGTCGTATGCCTAGAGGTATTATGGTCGTTTTTATTTTTATCTCGATCTACATGTGTCTTGCCGTCCTCAGCGATGGTAGGTACTCCATTAGTGCCATTGGAAATCGACGAGAATCTGGCTGAGACAAGTGACGTTGAACATGTATAGCAAACTTTCACCTATCTCCTGAGTTATATTCGCTAGATAGTAAGGACTCGATGAGCTCGATACCAAGGCTTCTAGGAGCTCTTGATAACTTTGGCGAATGACATTCGAAGCTTTTCTCGAAGACCCTCGACCTCTTTGGTTTTGGCTGGCAGGTCCAAGGGATTCTTCTTCTTTCCCTCAACGGGGGGGCTTTGTTGAATACCAATGGTTTTATCCAATTTCCGACTAAGATTGCGTAGGCTAGTTTCTTTCTTCTCGCGTATCTTTTCTTTTCTGTTCTCGCTGTCACCAGTCGACTTGCGGGCAAATGGATTCAAGTTCTCGACCATTTCAAGACCAGTTGAAAATCGTTTCGATGGCGGTTTTTTCTCTTTCTTGGACTTTGGTTGAGGAGGATCTATCAAAGCGGACACAGAGGAAGATCGCCTAACCTTTGTGAAAGTTGGATTCCGACGATCCTTCAGATTTTCTACTGAAGTAGAACGGCGTCGAACCTTTGCGGACGAATGCTTGCGGGGAAAAGAAGATTGTCCGGCATTTGAGGACTCAAATCCAAGAGGTTCCTTCAGGCTCTTTTTGCTCACTCGCTTGGGAGAGGATAGTTTGGGAGGAACTGTCCCACATTCCACAGAGGCAGATCTTCGCGGCTTTGGGGACGACGATCGCTTCTGACTGCCTGAACTTGATTTAGATCTCTTCTTCTTGGGCATGCTTTTCCGAGAAGCCTTGGAAGAACCTGCTGATGAAAAGGATTTGGATTGTTCAATCTTGGAGCTAGGCTGACTTCGAGGAATCGAACGCCCTCGAGGAGAAGCTCCATCAGAAGACTCCTTGAAGGCCTCTTGCAGATCGTAAAAATCATAGGCCTCATCATGAGATCCAGTCGACTTCCGCCTTCCTTTTCTGGTTGTCCGCTTTCCTGATCGTGGTGAAGCTGGTTTTCGTCCCTCTTTGTTTGTGAAGGTCCAAGTAATTTTGTCTTCTCCTTCTGGTACCATACTTTCTTCCGTAACATTGGACAGATTCGTCAACGGGGTACCTCGAGCCTTGTTCGATCTGACGGCGGTACGTTCGGAGCGTTCTGGAGATTTCATTGCTACCTTTATCCAGCCACTTTCACTGGATGCGGATTTTCTCTTCTTGCGCGTAGTAGACTTGGCCTTGTTACCCCCTTTGTTTGGTACGTTCGTTGAAGTCAAGGTGATTCCGCTGAGAGTTTTTTGCACTCCTGGCCTCAGGACTAAAGAGAAGGCGTTGCTCGCAGAAGCCTCTGATCCAGTGGTGGAGTTGTCGCGAGTTTGACTTCGATCTCCACCGTTTTCAACATTTTTTATCAACATCGTGATGTCCTCCTGAATTGTTTTTAGCAACCCAACCATATCTTCCTTCGAAGCGTTCTCGTAGGTTCCTCCAAGAGACCACGTTCCAGATACACCATCGCTGTTCGGCAATACTTGAATCTTGGTTTCTGATGAAGTAGAATTGACAACCGAGCTAAGATTGCCGTGTACAACTTCTTCATTATCAGTCTGCTCCGATTCAGTGCTTGTCATTATCAACGATTGAAGGCTAGCCATGGCGCCTCTAGAAGTAGCATCATTTTCATCACCATATGCGTTTGCGTGAAGCGACGATATAGCACTGTCATGGTTGTGATTTCCTTCGTCTTCCCTGTCATGTTTTGACACAACGACAATATTCTTGACATCGAAGCTCGCAGTATCTGACGAATCGTCATCAATGGTTTCATCTTCTGCCGCCACCACTGTTTCAAGACGTTGATCATTTTCAGCTTCTTCCATGCCTTTTGTCTCCTGATCAGGCATGCTTTCAGGAATGGCTTTCACAGCTGCTTCGTCTGTCTTCATGGCACTTTGCTCTTCCTCAAGCGGTGTAGAAGCAGTCGATACGGAAGTAATCTTCTTGTTGCGTCTCCTCGTCTTTGGCGTCATTTGTTCGACTTTGTAGCCGGATACATCTTCAGTGCTGCGCGCTGACTGTGGAGTCTCCTGGGATACACCATCCACACTGCCAGCAGGAGCTGCTTCCAAGATTTCTGAATTTGACTCCTTGCTGGTGGCTTCAATTTCTTGCGTCTCGTGTTCAAATGTCGGCGGGTCGGACTCTTCTTTGTCTGTGACTTCAGACTGCTCATGTACTTTCATCAACTTTGGGGCAGACTCTTCGTCTTCTCTTTCCATCAAAATCGGTTCAGGTGCCTTCTTGGTAGGCAATAAGAGACTGATCCGATTCGTGACTCTGCTTGGACCATCAGACTGCTTGGACTTTCCGCCGCGCAACCATTTAAAGATATCATTGCCGTCTTTATCACCATTGCCAGTCTCCGAGGCAGCTGGTTGTGGAACAACATCACCATCGTCCTCATTTTCCAGAGGCATTTCTGATTGTTCAACTTCGCTCTCCTTGTCAGAGGCTTCTGAATCATTATCAGATTCCGAGGCTTCTAATAATTCCTCGTCGTCATCATCATCCGAGATTTCGTATTTGGAATTTGGACCAATGTTCCACCATGAGGCTCGGCTAACCTTCGGTTTATCAGCCTTGTCCACAACAGTTGGCTTAGGAACATTCAGCTCCTCCTCCTCGACAGGATCTTGTTCCGAGACTTGAGGAGGTTTCTCAGTCATTTCCACAGCTGTTGGCTTGCGCACATCCACCACCTCCTCCTCGACAGTAGGATCGACTTCTTCCGAGACTTGTGGTGGTGCTTTGGCACCGAGAATAACGACCGACAGTCGCTCCCGTTGCTTGTACTTGTCTTCTGTATCAGCAGCCACCTCCCACCACATTGTATTCTGGTCCTGAGACTCAGCGACATTTGGACGCTGCTCTTCCTTGTCTGCTGCTTGGAGGGCAACCGAGTGGGCGCTTTCTTCTTTTTCTGCGTGTGCATCTTCGGCTTCCGCAGCTTCAATGAGTGCCTGAAGTTCATCCTGGTCAGTTTCCGTTCGTTGCACGCGAATGGAGATACGATGCATGGTATCATCGTCCAATTCATCATTATGTTGACTGCCAGCGTTTTCTTCATCAGCTACCATTCGATCCAGAGCAATGGAGCGCAGAGCCATAATGTAGTCCATTGGGAACTCATCACCTTCCTCAAAGTAGTATTCCTCGGCTTTCTCAAAGAGATCGTTGTGAACAATCGTTTTGCTGATGCTTGGAAAGTAAATGATCTTGTCGGCCGAAACATCGAAGTACTTTCGAGTGTAACAGATTTCCTTGGCGGCGCGCATGAGTGCCAGGTAGGATTCGGGTTCCATGTCCTCTTCTTCGTAAAAGTCATCGGATTGCATCATTTCTTCAATCATACCGTTCAGTTCGGTATCAATTTTCTTCTGGCGCATGGCTGCTTCCGATACCGGTACTGTCCCAGGGCTCGTCCGTTGATGTTCCGTATCCTTAATGTCTTCGTCTAGTACTGGTACTTCCCGTTGGTGTCCCGTATCCTTAATGTCTTCGTCTACGAGTAGCACCTCTCGTATATGTTCCGTATCCTGAATATCCTGCTCCTCACCTTCCGAGATGTAGGAATCCATATCATCATCCTCCATCACTCTTGGTTGCATAACATCTGAGTCAGAAGCCTGGAGAAGAAGACTGGAGGTTGCACTCGAGTGCGGTGAGGTTCCAATGCGCTTGACATACTTAGATATGCTCATGGCCGGGGAGGTGAATGAATCGCTCTCTCGCTCGGTCGGTTCTTCTTCTTCGTACGATGGAGGCGGAGGCGGTTTCTTCAGACTGTACGAACTACTCTGCTTTTCTTCACCAATGTCTTCCTCTTCTGGTAAAGAGAATTCACCAACGGATCCATAATCATCTGAATTGTACGAATGTTTGCTTCGGCTATTGCCATCTTTGGATGCTGGTGGAGTCTGACGAACATCCATGTCTTGAAAGGACAGTTTGTTCTTCTTCGTTGTAGCTGCTGTCGGTGAAACCAAGAGACTGGACTTTAGGGTTTCGGCGGAAGCTGAAACAGAAAGCTTGGAAGGTACTGGTGATGGAGATTGAGAAAAGGCAAGAAGCTGTTGACTCTCCACGGACAGTCTCAGCTTTTTGGATTCTGAGCTGCTGTGGCTGGAAGGGGTTCGAGACAAGACAAGACTCGAGCGTTCAATGGAAAGCCTTTGATTGGAAGGAGACATGCTCTGATTGTACTGCCACTTGCTGTCATCATCGTCAGATGTCAGTATGGTATCTGCGTGATTTCCTGAATTCCAAATCCAAAGACTGGACACGCTGTCTTCCCTATCAAGGGTGCGGGCTTCCCTCAGGGAGGTGTGTATCACTTTGGGCATGTTTGGATACCCAACTATACTGTTGCTTGGTTTGCTTAGGTTCAGTATCCGCTTCACAGTATTCGCAATGAGTTTTTTTTTAAATTTCGCCAAGTTTATCGACGTTTCTGTGCCCATTTTCAATTTACCCACTCGCGAGAAACAACGGATCGAAAATCTCGTAAGAATTTTAGTGCTTCTCTCATATTATAAAAGTAGACAATCAGAGAATCCCATATGTATAGCTTTTCGTTAAATCGAAGATATCATTGCTAAATGTGTTGAATCACGAGCCTCCTTTTGATACTTATGACATCATTGTCAATTCTATAAATGTTGACACAACCTAGAATCGAAAATGGAACACTGCATGAGAAAATGAGATCTTGATTGCGGCTCCAGTAACCAAAAGTTTCACTGCACGAGAGCGAAAAATGCTTGCAGTATTGTAGTCCTGTTTTGGGTACCGGATGTGAGAGTAGCTCCTCTCATTTCTACGATCACAATTTCAACGTGTTTTTACTGAAACTGCTGGCAGTAGAGTAGGTAGTAGGCAGTGTTAGTTCCTCTAAGAGCTACTGTATCACTCCTCACACCAGGGATTTCGATGGAAAAAGACCTGGCCTGCTGTTCTATTTCGTCATCTACATAGAATTACCATCATGGTATGCGCAAAACAAATGCTTACATTACTGCTGCTGGCTTCTTTACTTGTCTTCTAGACTCAAAAGCTTCTCAAAGTTGGCAATGGCTTCTTCAATATCTATCACCTTCTTCTTATAAGCTTCTTGCTTTTCGACATTCTCCTTCTTTAGATCCTCGGGAACCTTCTCAATGTATCCATCACTTGCCATCTTCTTCTCGAGTTGTTCTAGTGGCCCCTTGGTCTTCTTCATTTCCTTGTTCAATCTTGCAATCTCCTTCTTGTAGTCCACCATTCCCTTCAAGTCGATCAAGACAGTCAAATTGTCATTGACCACAGAGGTTCCAACGGATTCTGGAATGTTATCAATGTTAACATCAACCTTGGAGGCTTTTCCGAGTGTAATGATGTCATCAATCTGCGCCTTGACGATCTCCTCTGCATCCATAGTCTTGACGAAAAAGTGAGTCAAAACCTTATTGTTAATGTTGTACGAGGATCGCAAGGATCGGCAAGCTCCAACGACATCCATAATGGTGGTCATGGCAGATTCCAAAGCTTCATTCTTGTATTCCTCCTTGCATTCGGGGTAAGGAGCCAACATGATGGATGGCTTTTCGGATTCTCCAAGCGTTCCTCGTCCAGGCAAACGTTGCCACAATTCTTCGGTAACAAAGGGCATCATAGGGTGGAGCAATCGAAGACCAGCTTCCAGGGAGACCCACAAGGTAGCTTGGGCAGCCCATCGAGCGTCCTTCTTTTCTTCACTCGTATCATTCATGATGGGTTTGATCAATTCCAAATAAACAGCACACAAGTCGTTCATCCACAATTGGTAGGCGGCTTGTTGGGCATCTCCAAACTTGTAGTTGGTAAAGTTGTCGTTGACAGCTTCGACACCCTTCATCAAACGAGAGATCATGTATTTGTCGCGATTCGCCATCTTTCCACTGCTCATTAGATCCTCCATCAAAGTAGCAGTCGGGGCAAAGTCTTCCAAGTATCGAAGAGCGAATCTTGTGGCATTCCACAATTTGTTGCAAAAGTTACGGTAGGCAACAACAACCTTAACATCAAGGTTAATGTCACGGCCTTGCACGGTGTAGGCCAAAAGACCGAAACGAAGAGCATCGGATCCGCATTCTGGAATTCCGTCGGGGAATTCCAATTGGTTGTTCTTCTTGGCACGGGCAACTTCCTTTTCGGGCAAGTTTCCGCTGTCCAAACGTGATTGAAGGGCATCCAAGGAACATCCATTGATAACTTCCAAAGGATCAATAACATTACCCAAAGACTTGGACATCTTTCGTCCTTCCTTATCACGAACCATGGCGTGCAAAAAGACAGTGTGGAAGGGAAGGGTATCGGTCAACTCCAATCCCATCATGACCATTCTGGCGACCCAGAAGAAAAGAATGTCCAATCCAGTCTCGAGAAGAGAAGTGGGGTAGAATGCCTTGAGATCGGCAGTGTCATCGGGCCATCCCATGACAGAAAATGGGAAAAGACCAGAGGAGAACCAAGTGTCCAAAACATCAGCATCACGTTCCAAAACGAGTTCGTCCTCCGTGCATCCCAACAACTTGAGGGCCTTCTCCTTGGCATCGGCCTCGCTTCTGGCAACAATCCATCTATCATTGTGGGCCATGTCATTCTTGGTGATGGTTTCTCCTTCGGCCTTGGTGGTAGCAAACCAAGCAGGGATTTGGTGCCCCCACCATAGCTGACGACTGATGCACCAATCGCGAATATTGTCCAACCAATTGAACCAAGTCTTTTCATGATCGGCAGGAATGATCTTGAGTTCTCCATTGCGGACGGCATCGGTACTTCTCTTGGCCATTCCAGAGCAGTTGACATACCACTGAGGAGTAATCATGGGCTCCAAAATATCTCCGGATCGCGAGCAGAGACCCAGTCTCATCTTATTTGGTTCCTTGCCCTTGAGCAAGCCCTGTCAGTTAGTTCGTTAGTTAGTTAGTTCGTTAGTTACATGGAGTGAAACAAAGATAATTGGGTTAGTTGGGTCAGTCAGTAATCGCATGAAATAACTAGCATACTTTTGCCCATAAGCAAGACGTACCTTCTTGTCGAGTGCTTCTTCCATGGCAATTCTGGCATCGTATCTCATGAGTCCTTGGAATTCGTCTCCACCATGATGATTGATGGCACCATCGGAAGTCAAAACAGTAATAAATTCCAAACCGTGTCTCTTTCCACATTCGTAATCGTTTGGATCGTGGGCTGGAGTAATCTTGACAGCTCCCGTACCAAAGTTCATGTCGACCAATTCGGGGTCCGTAATGATTGGAATCTTGCGTCCGCTAAAGGGATGAACGACCTTCTTGCCATGTAAATGTTTGTACCGTGGGTCTTCGGGGTGAACGGCAACGGCACTATCTCCCAACATGGTTTCCAGACGAGTGGTAGCGACGACCAATTGTTCATCCGAGTCTTCAATGGGGTAGGCAAAGCTAGTAATGGTACCAAATTCGTATCTTCCCTTTGGGTCGTTGGGGTTACCCTTGTGGGTCTTGACTTCCAAAAAGGTGCGTCCCTCCAAATCAATGTAGTCGACTTCAATGTCGGAAATGGCCGATTTCAACGCGCAGGACCAGTTTCCAAGACGATTGGCTCGGTACAACAATCCCTTTTCGTGGAATCTGTTAAAGGCTTCGCAAACTGCCTTACTGAGCATGTCGTCCATGGTAAATCGTTCACGAGACCAATCGACAGAAGAACCCAAGGATCTCAATTGGGTCGTAATCTTGTTTCCATAGTCTCCCTTCCATTCCCAAACCTTCTTGATAAATTCTTCGCGTCCCAAATCGTGACGAGTCTTGTTTTCATTCTTCATGAGCATCTTTTCCACAATGGATTGCGTGGCAATACCCGCGTGATCGGTACCCGGGACGTAGAGAGTCGCATGTCCCTTCATGCGATGCCATCTCGTGAGGGTATCTTCGACGGCCGCCGTCAAGGCGTGTCCCAAATGGAGGGATCCCGTAACGTTGGGAGGAGGAATGACCATGACAAACTTTTCCTCTTGGGATTTTGTGAGCGCATATTCCGTATTCCCCTTGTAAAAGTCGGAGGCCTCCCACCATTCTTGCCAACTCGCTTCGACCGCAGTAGGGTCGTACGAATCGGCGAATGGAAGTTTGGACATGTCCTTCTTTTCTCCCTTGGGAGTAGGATTGACAAAGGGTTCTTTCTTTTCGACCTTTTTCTTGGGGGCTTCCTTTTTCTTGTCAAGATTCCATTGTGGCTTTTCTTTCTTCTTTCCCTTACCCTTGGCCAACTTTTTCAGTTGATTCTTGGACAATTTGGGCTGTAAGTTGTGTTTGTGTGTTGATTAATGTTGGTTGGTGGTGTGGGATTTCAACACACACACACACACACACACACACACACACACACACACACACACACACATGGAAATAAGGAGCAAACAAAAGATACAACAAAAAAAGATGGATGGTTCGCGTTAGCCAAGTGTTTGGTGCGTAACGATGATTTGTCAATTCTTTTCCAAGATGATATCTCGAATTATCACAGGGGCATTCACCATCCTCCTTTAACAATATTTCATGATACAAATCAACTTACTTCACCTTCTGCGGCAGCAGGAGCAGGAGCTGGTTCCGTCATTGTGATTATTCGTTTTAGCTTTTTGTCTCTGTGCGGATATTGAGTTGTTGTTGTTGTTGTTGTTTTGTTGTCTTGGCTACAATTGCTCGTCTTGTTGGTGGTGCAAT